GAACTAACGTTGGTAGCCCCCAGCACTCCAAGATCTGTTGGACATGTTCTGGATCCCAGGTTGGCAAGTGCGCGGAAAGACCGTGGTCAAAATTATGAACCTATGAATAAGTAGGGGGAAGCAGGCAATAAACAATAAAACGGAGCCTGTGCTCTATTGCTATCTTCTTTTCCATCATATCCCGTATTTTTTTGCTCTATAAGACTCCTTTTTCCCTCCAAAGAGGGGAAATGTGTGGGCGGTCCTTATGGAGCCAAATGCCAGGCGCGCCAGCATATGCCCAGAAGCCAGAACAAGGCCAAGAGGGATCCCGCGCTTTCGCTGCGCAGGCAAGCCTTCCTTGCATGTTGCGCTTCTGAATTGCAAAATAGAATGTTTTTCTGTGTGTATCTCTCCTCTCAAGAAACTAGTGCGTACTTATGGTGCTGGTGCGCTACTTAGAGAGCGAAAAAACGGGTAAACTGTCAGTCTATGAGTAGGCCAGGAAAGTCAGCTCCCAGTGATAGTGTAAGACCCAAATCGTGTGATTAACTATGCCAGGAGGCAACTGTGAAGCTACAGTGGACCCTCGCAGAACGGAAAAACCTGCAAGACGACAAGGGTTTTGGATTTTTAGTTGCGGTGCGAGCAAGACGATTTTCCTATGGGATTGCTTCGAAGACGAACGTCTTGCGAGTTTGTTTTCCTTTTTCTTACGTTAATACAGTTGTGAACTTGAACTTCGAGGAGCCAACCAAGCACGCCGGTCGGTAGCCTTTTTTGAGAGTTTGTGAGAGCACGTTGGGATTTTTGGAAGCTTTGCCAAACTTTTCCGAAACCGATGAGCTTGCGCAAGAGACGAAAGAAACTCGCAAGACGGAAAAAAACTGCGTGAACGAATGAATTTGTCTTGCCGAAGGCACCACATGTAGAAATGTAAGGAAACCTCTCCATGTCGCTTTTGAGGGAGCCGACCCACACACTTTCTGACCGATGAGGAGCTAGATGAAGTCCATAGGTAAGCAATCTTAAGCACACCTTGCTTTCATTGAGAAAAGAAACCTAGAGGAAAGAACGTCACAGCATGACTTAGAGGAAATGGTGGGAGCCAAGAGGATCTGTGCTTAACCACACACGAACCTTGGTTGGTCAGACAGCTACATCCAGGACAGAAGCAAATATCACCTGGACAGACGACCGTTGTGTCTTGTTGTGCTTGGCGTTATCTGCAGACTAGTTGTAGCTTCCAAGAAAGATCGGGAGTTTGTAAACTTGGACTAACTTTTAAAGAGTGGTGGGACATTTCGTTATGGGATAGGTTTAATTTGCAATATTATATGTATTGAATTAGTACTATAACCTCACCGCTTCAGGCCGCGGCCCCTGCCTGCCACTCTGGCAGGCTTCCAGACAGAATATAAAAGAGCACAATGGAAACATACACAAAAACAACTTCCCTAAACAGGGCGCCAGGTCAGATAGTGTGTTATGTCCTTGACAATCTGATGGAGGCATTCCAACAGGGCGGCACACGCACCACCGGAGAAGGCCTCTGCCCTGGTTCCCTGAACTCACTGTCTCGAGTGGAGGAGCGCCAGAAGGTCTCACCGGCTGGAGCCCAGTGATAGAAGACAATACTAAAGATCTAACTCCACCACAGCACTTTCAAAGTAATACACCAGTGAAATACAGAAAATGAAAACCGTTTAACGAAAGATAAATAGCAAATTCAAACACACGTGGTCCCAATAGGATTGGTTTCTCCTGAGTAGGGCTCTGTGACCTGGAAGGGTAGCAACGAAGGAAAATGCTGTGCTATGTAACTGACGCCTGGGCAGAATGCAACGTGTAACGAATGGTACCGAGTAGGACAAGAGACCATTGCAAATGTTTGAGACCAGAGGATTTGCTGCCTGCACAGAGGCACTAACTCCTAGGATGACTGGTAGTCAAAGCAGAGCTATCACTGAGAGATGCTGGAAGGGACAGTCCCTGAGCCATGTAGAAAGCCATGCCTGGTTTCTGGTAAGGCTGGATTATGGAACATCAGCCAAAGCAAGCCTGTGCGATACGCAAGCTTATTTCCAGATTCTTTGCACTTCAATCTCTTGAGAGAGCCAAGGCAGTCCCAAAGTCCGTTTCCAAGGGCCTAATCGCGGGCTCGAACCAGGCTCCGAAGTTATAACTGGCCCCCCGTGGCAGTAATACGTCCCGGATAAAACCTAATAAAGTGGAACCATCGGAGCGTTAAAAGCAGACGCTAGTACAGGTGCAGACGCTTCAGAGTGCCAGACTCCGACAAAAACGGCCAAATAGAACCGTCAGGTTAAGAACTTGCTTCGAGATGAGTACATGAAATGGCCATGGCGGGCAGCAGGGAAGGCCCCATTAGCACTAAAGTGGTGCTCAAGGTAAGAACAGTTCCGAGTTCCAGAATGGACCTCCAAAGACAAGATAAGTTGCTTAAAACGCCGAGTAGCCAACTGAGAAAGCAGACAATCTCAACCCAAACAAATGCCCACAACTCTATGGTGTAAAAAAGTAAAACAAAAGGCACAGCAACCTCCGTCGGGACCCCTCACACATGTCATTTCTCAAATCGCACCCTCTTTGAAAAAGGTTGGGCACACCCGCTGCTGTAGACCCAGGAATGACTGGGGAGTCAGGACGAGCAGGGCCTTCACAGATTAAAGATAAAGTTTCTGTTCCTTACGAGGGGGTAGAAAAGGAACACTGTGTCTCTCCACAATTCAAAGCAGATAGTGTGTTTCCACAGCAGCTGCCTAAAATCCCTCAGTACCTGTAAACAGGGTTTGTCTACTGGAATGTTCTTTAATTCTCCTTCACTGGCAACACTTTTCATTAAAATAAGAATAACGAAGAAGGATGGCTAGAAAGGTCCATACATGTGGTTTTTAACAAAATACGCAAATTGAGCTACTTGAAGTAATTCACCATTTGCCACATCTTGGTTTCGGTAAAGAGCAGTTACATTGGCACTTTCGGAGAAATACTGTTAAGAGAGGAGGTGAAAGAATGATTAAGTAGACGACGACAAGAACCAAAATAAGTATGTTTCATTTGAGAAAACAGGGTTGATGAATTTGTGGTATGTCAATGGTGTAATAAAGACACGATAGCAGCGAAGAAGGAGGAAGACTTGATTGGCCCAAGCCGCAAAGGACCAGTAGAATCAGCAACAACTAAGAGATGATCAGAGCCCAGCGAAAGAAAGAGACAAGCTTCTCGGTAAGAGGAGTTTAATCCTGATTGTTTATGTTTAAGCCCTTGGCCTTGGGATTTATAAAACCTATCTAGTCAGGAAAAGGGCCGGGCAAGCAGGCGCTGCCTCTCCTTTCCTCTTTGTCTGACTACACTGCAGAGAGCAGGAGGCTTCAATTCTGCTGGTGCTGCTTTGTCAATGCATTCCTTGCAGCAAACAGGCTGGTGAAACAGACTCCTGCAGCCAGGACTGCGCCCTTGGAGTGCGATTTCTACAAAGCTGCCTGCATATGGTTGTCTGCTATGCCAGGGCCTGCTTGGCCTCCCATTCTGCCGCTCCTTCCACCCAGGTATTAAAAGCTTCCCAATACTAGGCTGCCTGCAGATGTCTACAGAAGGTTGTATAATTGTTATCTCTTTGACATCTGATGGGAGGGTGTACCACAGAGTGGGCACCGCTACCAAGGACCTCTGCCGGGTTCCCTGCAACTTCACTTCTCGCAGTGAGGGCCCTCAGAACTGGGCCTCAACGTCCAGGCTGAACAATGCGGGTGGAGACCCCTCCTTCAAGTATACAGGACCAAAGTCATTTGTGCTTGGAAGCATACTGGGAGTCAATGTAGATCTTTCAGGACCAGTGTTATATGGTCTCGGTGTCCACTCGTAGTCACCAATCTGACAGCCACATTCTGGATTAGCTGTAGCTTCCAAGTCACCTTCAAAGGTAGCCCCACACAGAGCACATTGCAGTAGTCCAGCAGGAGATAACCAGAAAATGCACCACTTCTGGCAAGACAGTGTGCAGGCCGGTAGGGTCTCAGCAGGCATACCATATGGAGCTGGTAAAATAACCACTCTGGACACAGAATTAACTTCTGCCTCCATGAACAGCTGTGAGTCCAAAATGACCCCAAGGCTGCACATCTTGTCCTTCAGAGGCACAGTTACCCATTCAAAACCCAGGAGTCCCCACACCTGCTCGCCCCCTGTACTCCAGAAACAGTATTTCTGTCTTGTTGGGATTCAACCTCAATCCGTTAACCGCCATACATTTTCAACTGCCTCCAGACATTCACACAAGATGTTCAATGCCTTCACTGATTCCAATTTAAACAATGGGTAGAGATGAGTATCATCACATATTGGTGAACAACCAGCCCAACCCCGATGATTCCTCCCAACAGTTTCATATAGATATTGAAAAGAATGGGGAGAGGACGGAGCCCTGAGGCACCCACAAGGGCCCTGGCCCCGAAGGCACTGTGGACAATGAAGCATGTTTTTTCCTTGGCGCGTCGGGCACTGACAGTGGAGGGACACCCTCTGCCACCAGCACCCGGCGTGTGGAGGAACAAACTCCATCAGCCATGGCCCTCCAAGGTGCTGGGGTGAAACTGCCACTGCTCCTGCCAAGTGAGCTGCGGTGGTTTCACCCTGGCACCTTGTGGAGCCAGGCCCAATGTAACTTGTTCCTCCCTCCGCTTTTCAACGTTGCAATGTATCGCTATATCATGATGGTTGGCTGGTGATACATCACAATGTTGAAAAGCTGATATCATTCAGTCCTAGTGAGGTCCCTGCAGACTGGAGGCAGGCAACTGTTGCCCCCATCTTCAAAGGGGAGAAGATGAAGACCCAGGTAACTACTGACTGGTGAGCTTGACGCTGATACTAGGAAGACCATAGAACAGATAATTCAACTGTTGGTCTGTGAGCCCTTAGAAAAGGATGCTGTGATTACTAAGAATCTGGTATGGGTTTCTCAAAAACATGTCATGCCAGTAGAATCTCATTTCTTTTTGATACAGTTGCAAGCTTGGTGGATCAGGGGGATGCTGTGGATGTAGTATATCTTGTCTTCAGTAAGGCTTTTGACATTATATTATTGCGAGGTACTGACAAGGTAAACGTTAGGTAAATCTGTAGCTGGTTGACTGACTGAACCCAAAGAGTGCTCACTAATAGTTCCTCATCATCCTGGTAAAAATTGACAAGTGGAGTGCTGCAGGGTTCTGTCCTGGGCCTGTTGTTCAACATCTCTATGAATGTATTGGATGACGGAACTGAGCGGATGCTCATCAGATTTGCAGATGAGACAAAACTGGGAGGAGCAGCTAATGGTTCAGAAGACAGAATTGGAATTCAAGATGACCTTAACAGATTTGAGAACTGGGCCCCAAACAAATTTAATTTCAACAGGGACAAATGTCAGGTTCTACACCTACACAGGAATAATCAGCTGCACAAATATAAGATGGGGTTCACCTGGGTTGCAAGCAGTGCTTGTGAAAAGGATCTAGGTGTCTTAGCATACCACAAGCTGAACATGAGTCAACATCACACAACAGTGTCATGCAGCAACAAAAAAAAGCTAATGATATTCTAGGCTGCATCAACAGAATAGTGTCCTGATGAAGTAACAGCACTGCTCTACTTTACTTTGATCAGACCACAACTGTAATACTGTGTCCAGTTCTGGGCACCACAGTTTAAGAAGTATATTGAAAAGCTGGAACATGTACAGAGGAGGATGAGCAAGATGATCAAGGATCTGGAAACCAAGCCTTGGATTTGATATTCCGCTTTATCACTCCCTTTAAGGAGTCTCAAAGCGGCTAACAATCTCCTTTCCCTTCCTCCCCCACAACAAACACTCTGTGAGGTGAGTGGGGCTGAGAGACTTCAAAGAAGTGTGACTGGCCCCAAGGTCACCCAGCAGCTGCATGTGGAGGAGCGGAGACGCGAACCCGGTTACCCAGATTACGTGACTACCGCTCTAACCACTACACCACACTGGCTCTCAAGAGCCACACTTAAGGCTCACACTGCCTTAAGAGCAGGGGTCCACAAACTAAGGCCCGCGGGCCGGATAAGACTGAGGGACTCATTTATCCGGCTCGCTGCAACCTCCACCGCCTGCTGCCACTGCCCGCTCTTACCAGCACTGCACTGCGTGACTGCCAACTTCCAGGTTGGAGGAGCACCAGAAATAGCTTGTGCGCATGCGCAAGCGTTATTTGTGCATGCACAAGCGTTATTTCCGGTACACATCCGGGTCGGAGGAGGCCCGTGCACATGCACACAAAGCTATTTTCGGTGCTCCTCCGACCCGGAAGTGCGCCAGAAATAGCGTTTGCCCACGAGTATGGGCACATGCTCCCCCGCCCTCCAGCCCGCCGCATGATCGGCGTTGGAGACACTGTCCCGAGGTGCAGTAAGTTTGCTGACTCCTGCTTAAGATGAACAGTTGAAGGAGCTGGGTATGTTTAGCTTGATAAAGAGGAGACTGAAAGGAGATGTGAGAGCCATCTTCAAATATCTAAAGGGCTGTCAAATGGAAGATGGAGTAAGCTTGTTTCCTCCTACTCCAGAGGAGGGTAGGACTCGAAGCACTGGCTTCAAGCTGGGACACTGAGGTCCAGCTCCGAGGGCTTTCTGGCAGTTCCCTCAGTCCGAGAACTGAGCTTACAGGGAACCAGGCAGAGGGCCTTCTCGGTAGTGGCATCCGCCCTGTGGAACGCCCACCCATCAGATGTCAATGAGAAGAGCCACCATATGACATTTAGAAGACATCTGAAGGCAGCCCTGTTTAGGGAAGTTTTTAATGTTTGATGTTTTATCATGTTTTTAATATTCTGTTGTGAGCCGCCCAAAGTGGCTGGGGAAACCTAGCCAGATGGGCAGGCTATAAATAATAAATTACTATTACAGTGGTACCTCTGGTTACGTACAGTGGTGCCCCGCAAGACGAATGCCTCGCAAGACGAAAAACTTGCTAGACGAAAGGGTTTTCTGTTTTTTGAGTCGTTCCGCAAGACGAATTTCCCTAGGGGCTTGCTTCGCAAGACGAAACGTCTTGCGAGTTCTTGTGAGTTTTTTCCCTTTTTCTTAAAGCCGCTAAGCCGTTAATAGCCGTGCTTCGCAAGACGAAAAAACCGCAAGACGAAGAGACCCGCGGAACGGATTAATTTCGTCTTGCGAGGCACCACTGTACTTAATTCATTCCGGAGGTCCATACTTAACTTGAAACTGTTCTTAACCTGAAGCGGCACTTTAGCTAATGGGGCCTCCTGCTGCCGCCAGAGCCCGATTTCTGTTCTCATCCTGAAGCAAAGTTCTTAACCCGAGGCACTATTTCTGGGTTAGCAGAGTCTGTAACCTGAAGCGTATGTAACCTGAAGCGTTTGTAACCCGAGGTACCACTGTATATTATTACTCCGACTAAACATCAGGAAGAGCTTTCTGACGCTAACTGGCTCCCTCGGGAGGTGGCGGGACTCTTTCCTTGGTGGGTTTTTAAGCTGAGGTTGGACGGCCACCTCTCATGGATGATAGGTGGGGCGGGGGGGAGAGATCTAGTTGAGACCCCCGAGTTGCAGGGGGTTGGGCTAGATGACCCCCCGGGGTCCCTTCCAACTCTGCAATTCTATGAGGGGGTGGGGTCGTCAAACCGCCCCCCCGGCCCCCGAAGCTCCGTTGGTCAGAGCAGGGGGGGGGGTCGTCGGCCTGAGGCCCCTGAGAAGGCCGGGGGGGGGGCCGAGGGCGCTTCAAACCCCCCTGTTTCCCTCAGTTTCCGTGGGGGGCGGGGACGCTCCTGAGGGCGACCCTCTGAGGTGAATAACCTGGCGTCCGTTATCAATAGCCGGGCCTCACCTTGACGAGCCACATGCCCGTGTTCTGCTTGGCCCCGGCCAGGTCCAGCTCCCCCTTGTCGCTCATCGCGGCCTCGCAGCGAGAGCGCCGTGAGGGGAAACGGCAGGAACCGGCGGCGCACTCCCAGCTACGGAAGCCCGCAGAGGCCAAACGTCCTCGGCCCGGCGGCCGCTTCCCGACGCCCGCCCCCTTTTCCGTGCACGCTGCGCGAACGCCTCGCCGGCGGAACGCGCGCGTCGACGTCACCCGAGGGGCGGGGGCTGCCCCGCGTCAAGCTCCGCCCACTGGGGGAGAAGAATGGAAATGCAAATTACATTGCATTGCGTTGTATTGCATTGTATATAAAATAAAATAAAATAAAATAAAATAAAATTTGTTTAAGGGACCCTAAAGAAAACTGCTCTTCCTAGGAACGGAAAGGTGGTGTTGTTTTTGCAAACGGTACCTGCCTCTCGAGGAAAAATGCAATAGGGATCGTTATTGATCCTGCTTGAAAAACTCCACAAAGGTGGGGAAATAGCTCGCCCCCTCCTCTGCTGCCTAGCAACCAGGACCAGGTAGCGCCAGATATTTTGGGGCACAGCTTTTCCTCATCCCTTGCAGATGGACGGACTGCGGCTCTTGGCTCTTCTCAGGAATACTGGTGGCTGATGATGGTCTGTGTAGGATCAAGGATGTAAAAATCAGCCTCTCCCCTTCTTGCCGCTAATGGGGCTACACGCAGGTTTGTGAATCAAATGCCTTATGTTTTCCAGTGCTTTCAGCGGACCCCAAGCAATGCCCGTGTACTGTCTCACTATTCAGAAGTGGGAAGCATGGAACAAGCAATTCTCACGTGGAACACAGCAGCTGAAAAATAGGTGGCAAATTTGGAACAGATTCAGATTCCAGAGTAATCTCATGATAATACAGTACAAATACTTCTCTAATGCCAACTAGTTTAAAAACACACACACATCCATTTCATTTATGGATTGTTGTTATTTGATTGTTGTTAACCGCCCTGAGCCCGGCTTCGGCTGGGGAGGGCGGGATATAAATAATATTTATTATTATTATTATTATTATTATTATTTATTTAGTCACAAAGAGATTGACTGATCTACTAAATTTCATACAATGGATCTTGCAGCCCGAAGTGAGTTTTTGAATTCAGTTAAAATATATCTTAGGAAATAAATGAATCTTAGATCTATAGATTTCACTGTTTATACCCACAGACATCCTTGTTCTTATTTATTTGTCTGCCAGGAAAACCTATGTACATTATCTATCTGCTACAGAGTTATTGCTGGTTGTGTGTGATTCTGGGCACTTTCTATAAGACATACATTGAAATGACTGATATTCTGTTTAACAACAAACTCTAAACCTCCTCAGCATTCACTGGTGGTTAGGCTTGTTCATTTGAACCAAAAGGGTGTATTCTGCTGGCTCCATAGTGTGGGACATTAGTGAAGTCAAGCCAACAATTCATGTTTTGCCAGATAGGCTGCAGGTTTCTCACATATCCAATTGCATTTGATTGATGACAAATTCATTTAAGTTACAACTGAAAGGCGCAACATTATTCTACAAATTCCCAAGTGAGCTCTCTCTAATCAGCTTTCAGGAATACTGTAATCACATTCCCCGCATTGAAGGAATGCCAATTAGTAGCCAAAGAGTAATTGAATTTTAAATTGGGATACCCAAAGCAGATTTTGCTAAACACCTGTAGAAATTAGTTCCTAGTTATCCAGTTTTTATGCATAACTAATGCCTTGGTACAAAAAACAAAAACAAAAAACCACTGTCTTTACAGATGATAAACTATTGTTGACAGCTATCAGGCATTTTATGCTTTAGCTCCCAACATTATGCTATAGGTTAGCAGGAAATGCTGATTGTTTAAACACTGGATGGAAACCACTAGGCTATGAAGCTCTTAACAAGGCTGGCATTTAATGTGATAGAAAAATATCCTCCACAAAATGACACTATAAGCCCCCTCCCTTAAACAAACAAGAACCCAGAATTGTGCCACACTTAGAAAAATAGTAGAAGTGCAGGCTTTTATGTCTCCTGCAATGTTAATACAATTAAAAGAGTAGAGAAAATAGCAGCTTGATGTCTTTTAGGATAGAGAGGTATAAAGGCGCTTCAAAGTTTATATTCATTCCTTTTGTAAAACACTTCACAGCATCCAAACATCTCCTCATACATTCAGAAGGATCAATCTCTCTATATAATGGGGTCACGAAGAGTCGGACATGACTAATCGACTAAACAACAAACCACTGCCAAATATGGCCAAAAACAAAGGTTGCAGAAAAGCTTGAAAAGGGTATCACTGAATGCAGAGGGTGAGGCGAGGCAGTTCATCCTGCTAATGTATAATAAGTACAGCACAATAAACACCTGGGAGCAAAGCAATTTGCACACAGAGGTCTTTTCAGATCCCCTTGTCCAGTGACAACCCAAATGTTACCCCCAAAGATCAGGGCTTCCTTTAAGTAGCACCCAACAAGGAAATTTAGGCACCCCCTCCCAATGAACCAAATTTCAAAGTATTAATATTTAAAATATTGCTTTGAGTGTATCTGCCCGCTTTCGTGACTCCACTTGTCCCTATTGTTCTCGTCTTCAATGCTGATTCTGTTAAGACACATTAGCAGAAGTCCCTGTGATTTTTAATTGCTTGCCGGAGAAGCAAACAGTATTTGACCCATGCAGCCTGATGCATTAATAGCTCTCCAGATGCCTTCTGCTAGCGAGATATTTCCCCCGCCACCCAATGGTTGCTAGGGAGACTATGCGCCCGTCTCATGCTGCTGACACCAAGCTTTGGTAGCCTTGACTGCTTTCTTTCAGTTGAGACCTACTGAAATCCTAGTCAATGCTTCAACAGTTTTCTACGGAGAACTTGGTTTGCATTCTGGTAGATTAATAAGCAGTGTTATTTTTCTAGAAAAAGAGGTGCCGCAACTCAACACGAACACCTTCCTTATTGTCTTATAATGGCAATAGTGCCCACCTAAGAGGTTCCGGAACCGAATTACAGCTGGGGGGAAAAAAGCCCTGTTAATAAGGAAGCAGGCAGAATAATGAAATTTCCAGAGTCGTAAACACATAAGAGTCAAGCACCAAATGTTCTCATTGCTTAACAGTTTATTTATGAATGAGGGACAAGAGGAGACTGTGGTGTCTTTATGATATATGGTTTGTTTACACATATATACAACCTGAGCCTACTGTTGAGGGACTCACAGCATTAACACCCCAAGCAGGTCTTGCTTCTCCCATAGCCACTGTACAGCCTAAATGCCCCCCCACCTCGCCCACCAAACTCACAATATTTCACCCCACATTTTGTCAGGGCCCATGTATCTTGCTGCTTGGAGGAAAGCAATGTTCACCTCACAGCTAGTGCTTCTATTGTTCTGAGGATGTTGCGTTGAACAACATGGCTTGTCTCACAGACAGCTATTGAATGGCATCCAAGTCCTTACTGACACAAGTCTCATGTGAGCAGGAGAGGAGGGAGGCCAAGAGGCAAACTTGAGTCCAGCTAGTGACGAGACACGTGCGTCTTCCTCTCCTGATGCAACAAGTTCCCTTCTATGCCGATTTCCCAGAACCAGGAGAGGCATGAAGAGGGCGGTGGAGAAGTACCGTAGCTTCACACAGGTGTAGTCTCAGATTGCTTGGGGATAAACCCTGGAGAGTAGGGGACTTAAGGCAGCTATGGGGAGGCCTTCACTCTCAGCAATTGCTTCATGGGGGCAAGACCTACAAGGGATGAGTGGTAGTGCTCATTGGGCCTGACACTCGTGTGCAGATCCTGTTTTTGCTAATAAAGACTTAACTCCAACTTGCTGGTGTGATTTAGTGCTGGCTAGCTCCTGTCAGCTGGTTTGCATAAGCCAGCTCAGGGATTCCTTGTGTGGCACAGCTTTGAAGCCTGTATTTTCCCTTCCTATCCCAAGTATCAGCTAGATTTTGACATTCAGGGCCTTCTTGGCAGTGGCACCCTCCCTGTGGAATGCCCTCCCACCAGATATCAAAGAGAACAACAACTACCAGACTTTTAGAAGACATCTGAAGGCAGCCCTGTTTAGGGAAGCTTTTAATGTTTGATGTATTACAGTATTTTCATATTTTTTTTGGAAGCCGCCCAGAGTGGCTGGGGAAGCCCAGCCAGATGGGCGGGGTATAAATAAATAAATAAACAAATAGATTAATAATAATAATAATAATAATAATAATAATGGGTTTAGGGTATGTCTTCCACCCCCTCCCCAATTTATTACAATACCATCCTCTATTATAATTCCCTTGCTTTTGATATTTAAGTTGTAACTACATCCCTTAAATCTGCAATTAATGGGCTAACATTGCGGGTGATACCCAGCAAAATAGTTATTTGGGCTTCTTGTTGTGCCATGGAATTACCTTCCCTCTCCTTTCCTGCTCCCTCACCCTAAATCTGTTATTCGTTCTCTCCAGCCTTCCAGAGCAGATTTGTTTTTGTGGGGACACTATGGGAAGAGTGGAGGGAGGTGAAATTCTGATTCACGAATGGAACTAAGAGTACTTTGTTGGATACTGTCCTGGATCTGCATTCAGTTTAACCTGCAACACGGAAAATATGTTGCCTTGGCAACTGAAGGGAAACTGTTGGGTGCTTAAAATAAATTGTCCATGCATGCAGGGCTAACCCAAGGCATTTTGGTATCTGAGGAATAATATCCACAAGAAGTCCCTCCCCAGTTAAAATAGATGACCATTTGCCATCTTCTAATGCACCTGTTAGTTTGGGAACCTAATAGTAAGGTCAGCCCTTGTATATAAGTATACACCAAGTATACACAAAAGTATACACCAAGAAGTGCTTCAGACATAATAGTTAGCGTTATGTGAACAGATGTAGATGGACCCTTATGCTCACAAACTCCTATTCTTTCCATTTGAGGCAAATTATTCTTCAACATTCAGATGAACTTGGCGCTGTGGGTTAAACCACAGAGCCTAGGACTTGCCGATCAGAAGGTCGTCGGTTCGAATCCCCGCAACGGAGTGAGCTC